TAATTATTTAATTATTTCTATGTAACATTAATGGATTTTATTTAGACGTGAACAAAACTGAAAATAATTTCTTAGTAAAATAATTAATTACAATTATATTTTATAATTCATATAAAAAAAGAGTAAAATCCTTTACACTCTCTTCAGTTCAAGTTTATTGCAGTTCATGTTCACATTAATTATATTTCTTATACAATTTAATTATAACCATGTACGTAATGTTTATGATACAGTTAAAAGAAATTAAATACGATAAAACTCTTTATGTCTCTCATTTTTCTCATTTATTGTATTTTTTTTTTCTAAATAAAATATAAAGTTTCATACAATTACAATTCCGTGAATTGCGCGAGATTCATATGAAATTATGAAACGCTTAATACCGGCTTTACGAGTCCAATGGTTTTCGGAAAACCTATTAGCCACGTACCGCGTAATCCCGTCGATGGATTTTCGTGTTTCTCCACAGAGTTTTTCGTTATATAAATAGGTCTTAGTCCCAAAACACTCCTCACCCATACATCGCATTTTATTGCTGGAAAGTGTAAAGTACTCTCACCACTTAAGACTCACCACCATCTGCTTAGTTTTTCGTTGATATTTATCCACGAGCTTCTCATCCCGTTTAGATTTAATTTACTTATCACCCGTGCCATATAGAAGGAAAAGTTACACAAACAGAAGCGAGTCCACAACGTATCCATCCACCACTCTTCGTCTGCATTCGAAAATGCCTTGTGTATGTGTCGTAGGATTTGTTGGTGGTGAGGGGGAGAAGAGAGCGGCACCGACGAGGAATTCCGTGATATAAAAAGATCGCAAATGAAGAACATTCGGTGGTATGTGGCCTGCGTCTCTGCAAATAATCCGAGTGCCTTGCCGCTGACGTCGGGCACTAAAACTGCGACTTCCTCCTTTGCTGCATCAACAATTTACCTAATAAATCACATTACAATAGCGCTAGTGTAAACCGCGAAAAAGATGCAAACTAATTGAACCCAAAAAAAAATACAAATTTATTTTTCTTGCATGCGGATTAAATAACAATCTATTTTTAATTAAATTGTCTAAAAACAATGCATTTCAAATTATATAAAAAATTTAAAAATTTTGTATTTACGATGGAGTGGAACCTCGTTTAACGACAAAAATAAATTGTAAAAATGTGATTTTTTTTTGTAAAAAATTTAATAACACGAAAGCAAAAAAATAAAAATAACCATAGATTTTCATTTCTTCTGTTTCATTATTCAATAAAAATTTGTAATTTTGTAATTGTAAATAAATTACGAAAATCCATTGAAACAAATAAAGAATTCATTAGAAAAGTCGAAATCGTTATGAAAATTACTTACTTTTTATTATTAATTTAGTTCAAATGATCATTTTTTATTAATAAAATGGATAAATAATTATATTAAACAACAGTAAAAATAGAAATGTTTCTCATAGTCCGGTTTGAATTGAAATGTTCAGGAAACTAAATTTTAATTTAGCAAAATACAAAATAATCCAATTTCAAACAATCCGGAATATTTTGTCACTGTACAAAGTGTAAGTGTCGTAGTAAATATTCGTAAAATTGTATAAAATTAATATACTGAAGATTATCGTGCAAATATGCTTGAAAAAATGAAGGAGTTAAAAGGAAGTTGTATCAATATTTTTATAATGAAATCAAAAGTGTATTTTTAGTTATGATTTTTATAACATTATTATTTTTAATCAAGTAATTTTTTATACCGCAATAACAATACCAAAGCCGGTTTTACTATAGAACAATAAACAAAAAGGCTAATCAGTAAAAGTTTTGGGATAACTGATTTTTTGCATTTAACTTTAACATTTCCTTTCATATGCTACATTGTAGTGAATAGATTTAGTTTCTAAAACCTACAAATTAAATACAGTGAAACCTGTGACGATGAGAAGAGAAGACCCGGATTGCGCGCCTGCTACATCATTTTTAAAACTTGTGTACCCATATTATGTGTAGTTTTGAATATGTTTCACTATACGAGTAAAAATCTGGAAATTTTGGAACGGATTAAACTCGTTAAGTGCGGTTCGACTGTATATTTACATTGTCTGAAAATCGTCATATTTAAAAAATGATTAAAAAAAATGATTGACACTTTATAATCCAATACGAATTAAAACCTCATTTCACGAACCCAAAGGTCATATATTTATTTACTCTCTATAAATGTATTTATTAATGTTCACTCTGTATGTACATAATGTACCTCCCAATAATAATCATTATATAAAGAAAGAAAGAAAAACTGACCTTGGTCTTCCGGATTCAGTTATTGTAGCTTTTTATTCAGTACTCAAAAGTAGTGAATCAGTAGCATATGGAAACGGAAATCTAACCAAAACACTTATCATTTAAAGTTAAACGAACTAGTGTTTCCTTGAGTTCTTAATAGCAACAACGATCGTATCCAAAGTTTCGTTTCGAGTCACAATGGAAACGACGATTATAACAAATCTTATATAATGAGGTCAGCAAAAAAAAGGCAAAAAGTCTTCTCGTTAATCGTGCAGGTAATTTTTTATTTTGTTTTACGCTTAAATAATGGCCAATACGTAATGCCCACGACAGCCGAATGAGTCGTCACTGCATGGCCTGCATATAAAATAACAATTCTAATTATTCAATCGGATAACGCACTTCCGTTTGTACGATAAAAAAAAATACACACATATAAGTAGATATTCATATGGAAACAATAAAGAAATAAACTCAACATTGAATATTACGACAATATTATTTTAGACGAGTTTGTTCCTGGTCGATACTATAAGAAACGTCTCGTGTCGATTCATCCTACACCGAGAGGTGACCTGAATTTGTACACGCGAAAGATGATACATTTTTGCGAAAAATTGCAGGATTCATTACCCGACAGATCGATGTTTCAACGCTTCGCAGATGCTGCATATAATGTGCAGCAGAAACGTTTAAAATTTTGAAAAAATATACATTGCAATAGCAGATGTTGCATATAATTTGCAACAATATATACGTTTTTCTTTCTCTAAATAAAAATTGCGTGTTACAAGCAGTAAAAAATAAGGTGCAACGCGTTTACCCTTTACAAATACGATTAAATACGAAGCAAATTAGATTTGCAATTAAGTTTTGAGCAGTTGACGTCGCAAGAAAGTGAATGTCAAACAGGATCTACCTGCAAGTAAATGGCGTGCATTTGGATCCATGCTTTTACAACTAGAAGTTCTATTTACGAGTAAATCTTGGAAACTGTTTAGATTTTATAATCATCATTTAAATCGCTTAAATCCCGTATTTCCATATATATTTTAGCAAAAATTATTCACATAAATTTTATTTCTACTTTCATATACATTTATATGTGTTATAAAATTATACTGTTTTTAATATATTTCATAATAAAAATACATAGTTAGCTTTCAATTGTTTAATAATAATGGTTTATATAAAAAATTACCTGGAAATTATAGATACAACATATTCAATCTAGTGCTTTATGTTCGAAGATTGCCTCATGTATTTGATATTTTAGCGACCTAGTGCGAATTAGCAAAATTTTCAATTCTAGGAGGCAACGTCTTGTTATAATCTGGTCTAGAAATTCGTAGAATAGATTATGGATTAATTTAATCAAAACCTTTAATGCTGTTGTCAGCATCTAATAAATTCTGGAGCACGTTTTTTTTGTCAATAAAATAAAACGCAGCGTAGCACAAAAGTGAACAATAAAATTTTGTTGATATGCGTAATTTTTAGCTTAATGAGTATTTCTATCTAGTTGTTAATGGAATTGTTAGATCGTAAATTGTAGAAAATCATGCACAATCGAATAAAATGCGCATGTTCGAGTGTAAGCGAAAATTTCGAATAAAATTATAATACGCAATCATAACTGTTTGATTAAAACTGTGCGCATTATACTCGAGATTTTATGGTATTCACTATTGTCTTATAAAAATTATGAATTTACTTTCAAAAATAATAAATTCTCACTCACAAAAGAGAGTCGAAATATTAAAATAGATAGGGACCGCAAGAAATTGCACAAAAAAAATATTCGAAATTTTCATAAATTCTTACGTATAACAAATAACTTTTTATAATACATACTTTTTATGCGGACCGCATAAAAACAATCGCACATAGAAAATACGTCAAAGATTTACGAAATACATGAAAAAGTGCATCCAAATTAAATAAATAATTAAATTACACATGGAAACATTTTAAAAACATTTAATTTCTCATTGTACATTTGGAGAAATTTTCAAAATGCAACAAAATTCACTATTTCGTGTGATAAAAATCGACTAACAAAATCGTTTGAGCTGGTTTTACATATGCACACAGATAGAAAACATTACAATGGTGCAAACACCGTTGGAATTGGTTGGATTGCATTTACCGCATAAAAAGTACAGCATAAAATCAGGTTCTACTGTATTAATTATAAAATCATTACGTTTATAAAATAATTAGTTTCAAGAAAGACGTCTGCTTAGTATGTTACAGATTTCAAATGACATTACAAAGTTTTTATGAAATTCTGCAATTAAAAAGAAATAGGTTAATTGCGCATCTTCTTTAAGCTTATTTTCTCCGATGATCGGGGAGTGCAGATGGTAAATGTGTCAAAGATGATGTACATATGGCATTTGAAGAGTCCATTAAGCTTGAAGTAGCAAATATTAGGAGTGCGATCAATCCACTATATATTTGATTAACAAAACTGAACAAAGCGGCGCGTGAAAGAGAAACGAAATAAATGAAATAAAATAAAGTCAAGAAACGGTGCCTCATTAAAACCAATTGTAAATGTTTGATTAACAAAACGTGATTATTAATGGATGGAGAGAGAAAGAGAAAAACAGATTCGCACAATAGGTTTGCGTTCTCATTGTTACTTTCCTATGAGGGAAGTACAAAGTACATTCTTATAAGACTAAGAATTAATGTTAACAATTTTGTAATTGGCACTCACCTATCGATTCGAATCCGCCGCCTCTTTTGTGGCTGAGGAACGCAACATCCGAACCAGGATACCCAAATCTCACTAACTGCCGTCATCTGTAATTAAAGCAACAAGAAAACTACATTAATAATGAGAATACAATTAAATTATAAAAATAAATTCTTAATATAAAACGTATTATCAAATTAATATAGTAAAAGTATATTCAAGTTACTTCACTGATGTTTCGAATAAATTTGATTCAAAACATTAGTAAAGTACAAAAACAATCAAATGTCCTAAGCATAAGTTTCTTTGGTAGTTCTTATATCATTATTAAACTCTGTACTATTTTCAATATGAAAGGTTTAATATGAAAATCGATTAAAAATGAACTATGAAATTTATAAATTTCTTCCATTTGGAAAAGATTTTAACCTTAATCCGATCCTGTCTATACTAAACGCATGAAATTGAAATGAGTTTGTCATATATGTCATTATTATTCTCGATACACTTTCTTCATTACAAATACACATACATTTTTTTTACGTAACTGCGCGGTCAACAAGTTTTTTTCTCTCATAACAAACCCATTTTTTATGCAAGACTGCATGAAAATCAGATATTTATAATTGTAGACTTTAGCAGTGCAGGGACTACAAGGTAATCATTTAAATATTGAAAACTTGTTGCAGATCGAGAGAAAGAGTGACGAGAAATAAACGCACACACACACATAATCTATATACGTGTATATATAGTTGAGACACGCACAGAGAACCAACCATTCACAAATTAATATTCACATCGGATCCGGAATTGGACTTTCTAACCTACTGTGTATTCCGAACTTGGCGAGATCTTAATTTCACTTATTTTTTTTTTTTTGGTACGAATGCAAAAATAATAACATTGCACAATACGCCGCATCGATTTCAATAATAGAAAGTGAAGTGAATCTTAATAAATAAAAATTTACAGTGCATTTCCTGTAGGATTATCGATAAATTTTTGTTACGACAATCGTGAAACTTATCAATTCAACAATAATTATCTAATCTATATAAAAAAATATATATAATCAATCATTATTTTTATAAATATAATATTCATATTTTTGATAACAATAGTCCTGTCGTAAATTAAGTATTGATTCAATTCATTCAATGATTTGAATATTTTATTAAATAAACTAGTTAAAAAGTCGTGTTTTTTTGTTGAAAAAGAAATCTGTAAAAACAACACTCAATGAATTCACGCTCCGGAGATTTGAGTTCTTGCATTTCTTACGATATTCTGTTGTTTTATCCAAGAGGTTATCAAAGCAGAAAGATTTATTTTTTCACACAAATAATGTATTGCTTCGATCAGTCTGGATTCACTACAGTCCGTTTTGAAAATTTCTAAGAAACCGGGATATTGATGGAATAGATTACCAGCATTATTTGCAATTTCAAATTACATGAAAATATTGAAAAGTAAATCTAAATTATTCGATTTGCAATAATTCAGCTCTTATTTAAAATTGTGAAAGAATGTAAAAGTGTATTACAAATGAATAATCAATATAATAGCTGTAATCATCGAAACAAAGCAATTAAACATAAACTTTTCGTATAATTTAATAGATCGTTCGATTTGAAGTACAGAGTAAAAAAAAACAGTTAATTGTAGAGCTGAGAGATTGCTCCAGATTCTAGAAACCGATTATACCATTGTTCCAGCTAAAACCTAATAATAGGTGTTTAGCAAAATCGCGAATGGATCTTTGAAAGATCGATTTTGCATATAAACATAATGATGAATTGTAAATTGGAAATGATACAGGACAGATCGTTACTTTTTTTTCTTCTTCCTTCCTTAGAATGCATGCAATGACCGACAACTCTTCGGGACTTTCGAATCCTAATACTCGCGTGCACAGATATTTGAATAACAAACAAACAAGCATTTCCATTTCAATGGCATTTGGATGTGAAATTCATTTTTAAATTAAAGAAATTCTTCATTAATTAATCATTTGTTTTGTACAGTTAAAATTTTACTTTTATTTCGCGAACGAAATAATAATTTAGAAAACAGTTGGAGCAACAATCGCAATTACGTCTTACAAAGCAACAGCAGGATTTTCAACTTGTAACTGTATACGCATTCAAAATATAATAAGCAATATTGTTATACGTTATACAAATTTTATTTGCTTTTTTTCACTGAAATCTCTAATAATAATAATAAAATAACTAGTTATTTTATAATGAGTTTTAACCTTTTGTGACAAATTATACAATAAAAAGTTGATGAAAGTGGAGATATTCTAATATTTTAGAATTAACCATGAACTCTTTATTTATTAACTATTATTATCCTTCGAATGCGAATAACTGAAAACATCATCAAGTCTTTCCAATAACTTCGTGATATAAGTATAAATATGTAATTGCTAAATCTACCATTGCAAATGAAAGGTCAGATCGAATCGCTCAATTTATAAAAATAATAATATAAAAAAAAAATAGCATGCATAGCCTTGATTTAATAAATAACAAAAGAAAAATATGTCATTAAGATAATTTACAAAACTGAAAATAGTCTGGAAACAATCTCGGTTATCATATTTTCATAAGTAAAGACTTGCATACAGTCGAAAATGAAATGTGTAAACTATAGCGAATTGTACAAACTTGTTTATAGCAAACAAGGAATTATATTTGGACTACGCGAAAGAGAAATGATTCATATTGAAATAAAACTAATGATCTTTAGTACTCTCAAAAACAAGATACATGACTTATGCAGGGCCATTAATTCAAAAAGGGGGAAAGCGCGGTACGCGATGACTCACAGAGCTACAAGAAACGGGAGACTGCACGACCAACAGGATAATGCAAAAAAAATGACAAATTGAAAGATTACATCTCAGGCTTTTAGAATCAAATGGAAGCGATTTTCTACAAAACATATTCAATCCAATGCACACATTATGTATCGCTTTATGTAACGTTTCTAGTAACACGGAAAGTTTTATAGAAAATTAAATTGTAACTGATTTTACCCAGAGATTACCGTACAGTAAATTGTATGAATAAGTCTGTTGCTTAACTTTCAAGCTGCAAAATGTCAAGCAACTAATAGATGACATATGTCAGTATTTAAATTTACATTTCTATTCGTTTTCTTTGACTTTTTTTTTTAAATTAAATAAAAAGAGAAAACCTGATGGTAATTACAAAAACAAATATACTCTATAATTCTATTTATTTTTCGATTGCATAAGTTATTTATCTGAATAATTAATTGTAAAGCACGAATGTAAACGCCTTTTACTCCAGATCCAGCAACACTATTATAATACGGTAGCCCTGATTGCGGTGCTCCGTGAACGAGAATTTATAGAATTTACAGTTTACGAATTAGAGAGTGCAAGTGTATATAATTTATGTAAACAAAGAGCGCTCCCCGAGCGCCGAAAGCGAACGGTTCCGTTAAAAATAGACGTATCTTATCGGACGCAAACCGTAAAGTTCCATCGAAGATGAAGAAAAAGAGAAAAAGGGCGAAAGAAACGGAAACCTCGAGGATTCCCAGGTAGTTTTCTCTCTAGCACTTCGACATGTTTTTCCGATTGCGTACAATTTGTTTGTCTAAGCCAGAAGTCTCGAGCCGTTTATTTTCCCCCCCAAATCCTCACTTAGTTTTGTGTATATTCGTATACACTTACAATAAGCATAGTGGCAGTTGGAATACCTCAAGATTTAGATTCCCTTTTTAACTAACTGAAAGAAAAATCATACAATTTTTAGAATTAATTATTTATTATTTTTTTTATATTTTAATTAAAGCAACCATTTTATTTTTCAATTCGTTAACGGAAATTACTTACACTAATTTAAAAGATAATCAACTGGGCTTTAATAATACTTAACTACTGATAATTGCTAAGCAATTTCATAAAGCCTTTAACATAATGCGACATCGTCTACAGAAACATTCAATTATATTCTACTTCTTTCAATAATGACTAATTCATATTTGTCATTATATACAAGTAATAAACAAATACTTCAAATGAGTATTATAGGCGAATAAAAGTGTTTTTAACTAAAAATGTTTTTTGTCACTTCAAAAAGAAAATAAGGTCGAAACGACTGTCAATAAATATTATTATCATTATAATGAAAATAAATACATTATTAATACTACAAAGGTCGTTCGAATAAATGTGATTAAGTTTAATACTTTCTCACCTTATCCATTCCATGAATCACTCATTTGCTTATCAATGTTGTTACAAAACAATACAATTAACGATATTTTTTGCGGATATACACATAACAAACGGGTGGATTAAAACGAAACAACATTTAGAAAAAACGACAAACTTGTGTGTGACTGGGCTTTTGACGAAGAGCGAGTGACTAGTTGAAGAGGAATTCAAACAAAGATAAAAATCGTCGTTACATTCCTGTTATCTCCGTTGCACTCGTTCGGAAGGACTGCGGGGCTGTGGATGGATTGTGCTTTGGAATTGGAATACGAGTCAACAAATACGCAAATATCATCGAAGATCTATTGCACGCTGCTCTCTCAACAGATTCAAGGAATCGAGTCTATAAATATTTTGACAGTTAATTACAAGAACAATGCAGACACGAATATCGGGAAAAAAAAATGTAATTACGACCGGTGTGTGTACACAGACGTTGATGATAATTAGGATTTTGTAAAAATATTTACTAAATGATAAGGAAAGTCGGCCTAAGATTAAACAATGGCCTGGGGATCTCTTGAGGCCCTCCGAAAGGCCACAGGAGGATGACCGTATTTGGTACAAAAATAGCGTGTTAACATTTAAGGCATATCCATACACTGCACGAGTCCGGCGCGACTTCGTGAAGAGGAAGGAGGAGACGGCCGCAAGAACTTACCTTAAAATTATCCGAAAAGAGTGTACTGCTTCCCTCTTCACTAATAAAAATAAAACCAGAGCCCTTAGGACTACGTGCCACTACTAGTCAATGCAGAAGAGGAAGAAGTCTCATTGAGGTTGACTACTTTTCTAGTTGATGTGCATGTACGCTGAGAGCACCATCACAGAGGATCACCGACAACAGCCTTTCCCATATCACATTCACCAAACGACTGAAATGTAAATCCACTGTAATAAAATTTGCACACAAACGTCAAATGAAAATGTCACGAATGCTGCCAACCGTACGAACTAAAACCTATTGGATTTCACGTAATACCTAGGCAACCAAACATACGCTCATTTGAATTTTGAAATTTTCACACTTCCATTGCAGACTAAACAAATTATTTTAACATACAATCTAACAATTAATCCATATTATAGTATTAACTAACTAACACAAGTTTTTCTCTATTCACAAAAGCAAAGTATTTTCACGTCTTGTCATTTCTTTAATTTAATATATAATTAGTTTATGATAAAATTTTGTACATTCAATATTTGCTTAAGATAAAAATAAATCAATTAACGAAAATATGTAACCTTTGAGTTGACGGATATATGGTCAATAGCTAGTTGTTGCTAATAATTAAAATAATCTATATGTATCTATTTCTATTTACTTTTTGTATTATAAGCCTGTTTCTAATACAATATTATTATAATTTACGCAACCCATCGTTTCCAATGGATGTTGTTAATTATAAAATTAATACTGTATATATTAAAATAAATATTTAATAGTTAGTTAAATGAATATCTTTGTACATTAGATAATTAATTTAGAAAATGAAATTAACGAATTGACTCAATATTTTATTATTATTTGAAGTAATAAACTTGGATAATTATAATATTCTTGTTTTTGTCATTGTTTTACCATTAAATGTAATTTTTTTAGTTTGTAAATCTATTTTTTTTTAATGGTAAAATCTTCGAAATAGATTAAAAACTATCCAATTTGAAGATATTCACATGGTCCAATTCCTCGTTAATACCGCAGTAAAAAAAAGTTGGTGGTCTTGAACTCTTGTACCGTGTAAAAAGTAATTTCTAAGAGAAAAGTAACAGTTTTTCTTTCAATTTATATTTTTATATTGACAATAACTACAATAAATTATTATATCAGTTTAAAACTCAATACTTTTTTAAGAAAAAAAGACATTTTCGGAACTTTATACCATATTTTCCTGTCTTTTCAAATTATCCGTGCTTAACCGAAATTAATGACAAATTTATAACATTGATGTATTATACGTATTGTAATTAATATTTACAAATTGATTATATATTATTATATTGTTTTTATTTAAACATGAATATTTACATTCTGCTAACTTGCTGATTTCCACTAACCATACTAAACAGTAATTTGTATATAGAATTATTTGGCACTGCAAAATGAAATAGTTATTTCCGGTTTAGTGTTTAAAATTTATATTTTATTTAAATGAACAGTTGAATTTACAGGAAGACAATCGTAAGCTAATTAATTGTCCGATTGTCCTTAATAAGATGAATGTGCATCAATCTAAGAGAATTATGTAAACTTGATAGATAAAGTAAGTGAGATGAATTGTCCAATTGTTTCTGATTACCAGTGGCTTGTAGCCAATTGATCCATACATTTTGCTCAATTCCTTATTTAAATAGAAAATTAAGTTTGCTTGATAGTTTTATCGTTCAGCCAGTTCAAAATGTCGTTCCTTCCTTCTCCTGTTATCGCGCTCGCTTCGACAATTGTTATGTTCTGGGTAATTTCCCTCTTCAGCCTTCTCATTTGAAGCATTAGCAAAGCTTCGTTCCTCATCTGCCTGTAGCTCACGTCCATCTTGGTGAGGATGAGTAAAATCTGTAAATGTAGCTTTTAATGATGGAACTGCATTTGAGTTATCACCACCTTAGCTTTCTTCAATCTGGGATCGAGCAATATCGTGTATAAAAGGACTCCGGCTGCAGATATCTGACATAAGTTGGAAGTGTCCACCACGTACAGTACCTTCTTGATGCCGTCGAAGTACTTGGGCCAAAGAGGCGCCATCACGCCACCGACCTCCCGCACTACTATCTGCTTCTCCACATCGCCAGAGGAGATTTTAATGGTAAACATATCAGTTCCTACCGTGGAGACCGAAGTCGTGGTGTTGTCCACCGCTTTAACATTCTGCAGCTTCTTCAACAGAAGCGTTTTCCCCGACCCGGAGGGCCCCAAACAAATCGCCATGTCGTTTATTACTTCCGTTGCTAGGAGACAAACGAATGGAAACAATCGATGTCTGAAATTAGAAAATCATAGCGAAAGCACTCACTCGAATTCAGCAATAAAAATCTGCGGTTTTCCCCCCGAAAGGTTTTGTCCATTTACAAAACCGAAACACGCATCATTGGCTCCCTATAGAAAGTGAATGAAACAAAAGGCTGCGCGCGATACACAACTTCATCATGTATTTCTTTATAATTTTAATTTTATTTTCTTTTTCATTATTTCTTCTTTTTATTATCATTCCCATCCTCCTCGTACTCCTTTCCTCGACCGCAGCTTCTGTCGTCTCGGTTTTATTTCCTCGACGCGTATTCTCTCTATATAAGCAAAATCCACTTGCCAATTACGTATCATTCGTATTCGAAGCAGATCCGTTTCACCATTTAAATTTAAAATGTACTTCAGCATCAAGGTGAGTCCACGAATATTAATCCACTGATCCGAAGTATTATTAATAAATTCGGATGCACAATCACACGCAAATTCCTAATTTAGACTGCAAAACAACAATCGAACAAAAAAAAATACCGAATATATGCTTTAGTATTCCGGTCATGCCGTTTCTTTGAAATCAAATGAAGAAATTTTAAGGCTGCTAATTTAATACTTGCAATATTTCTTTCATTATGAAATTGCATAATTTTGAAAAAATGCACAAATAACTTTACAATTCTATTTTTTTTTATTAAAATAATTTTAAAATCCTTTTTCCTATCCCTATTTTTATTGAATTACACATTTTTAATGAAGCTTTGTCCTTTTGTACAATTTTTTCGAGAACTTGAGAAAACCTACATATTCACTCTTGAGTCAAATAATAAACATTTGAATGAATCGATTTTAAAAACAAATCGCGTTTGCACTTTCTCATTGTCTCACTTAGTTTTTTTTTTATGTAATTTGGTTATAATATAAATAAGTGAAAGTGCTTTTGAACGAAATTGAAAAACCGCGAAAGTTTGCATTTTCCTTTCAAACTTTACCAAACTTACTACCAAAACGTACTCGACCAAACTGTTAATTAAATATTACGTAAACAAACAATTTCTATTCATTTATTTACTCCTAGTATTATCAAATTATCAGAAAGTGAATGTAATCATAACATACATCTATTTTTATACAAAAATAGGAATAAAAAGTTGTTTAAATACTTAATTTTTACGTTTTATTAAATATTTCGAAAATATTGATTTTTAAAGCTAAAATTTAAAAAATTTCAAAAATTTAATTTTACTATTCGATTTTAATAATATTTCTATAGAATATTAGAAATCGTTGAAACGACTATCGAAACCTATAACATATACAAGATAAGGTGTAATAATGCCGAACAAACATTTTGATAACTCAACGTGCTTCTGCACTGTATGTTTAGTATTAATCTAGTACACTTTACATGTACATAAGTTGTCCGTTAAATATTTTTTTTTTTACATATGTATTATGTCTATGAAATTTAACTACAATTTTCATTACTAATATTATTTATTAAATATATTTATTTACAATTTTATTTTCAGATTGCTTTGTTATTCTTCTGTTTATGCTCAGCTGCCTTAGCAAGGCCTGTGTACGATGACTCACAGCAAGCTGCTTCTGGGGATGGTGAGTTTTTGCCACGTTTGATATTACTCATTCGATAATCAATGAATACGCCATTGTCTTCAAAGATTTTAGTCAAAATAGTTATAGAATAAATAAAATTTAGAAATCTTCAAACTTTTGAAATTCATAAATTCATTTGTTTGTATTTAACTGAAACTGTTTTCATATAGATCACCATGGTCGTGTGCAAATTAAAGTATACAGGGGACCAACCGACCATGATGGACTTCATCACTTCGCTCCATGGGGTTTCTGGGTGAAACAGCCGGCCGATGATGACCACTGAAAACCCTGTTTATTTTAATTTTGTTAATAATGTTTGTTGTTTTTTTTACAATATAAAATGAAAACAACATATGATTTATTTGAAACCAGTGACAGGTTTTATTCCCCAGATAATCAACTTTTATATACATCTAAAAGATACACATCGCAAATTACAGCCAAATGTATGAAACCACACCAATAATTGAATTCACATTTCCCAAAAATCGAACTTTCATATGCATCTTTTAAATCCATTTTATCTATTATATTTTCTGAGAAAATCACTAAAATGTGAAGACACTGCGTTAATTTTTCATTACTTCATTTTTGATCGCAACTTGGACTCAAATATCCATGGGTGCTTTCTATTATAGTTACTGAGAAAATCAATAAATTGTGAAAACGTAATCATTTGTACAAAAGAAAATTTAAGTTATTTTAATCGAATTTGGAAAAATTACAAGTTTTAGGAGTAGAATAGGAAAGTAAAGAAAAGCGAGAATAAAAAAACGTTTGGTTTTATTATAAAAAGTCTCATTTTGTAACTCGATATATATATATTTCTAAAATAGTAATAAGTATACATATGCAATCATCATCAATTAACATATGGTTACAATTATTTTGTTTTCTTCCCTTTCATTTTTTTTTTCTCAAATCTCGGAAAGTACTTGATATTCAATATTAAACATGATTGCAATATAAGTAACCTCCCAATCATTCCATAGAGAAAAACATTCAAGCTCAATCAACAGTTCTTGTAAATCAACTATTTCTTCCAACTAGAAATGATATTGATATGTTGTACAAAATATTATCGACTGCTTTAAAATTTTATTATCACTATTCGCATAGCAAAGGACGGAAATTTCTAAAAGTTTATAAATGTTTGCAATATTCGAATGTTAAAAGTCTTCCTAACAAGAAATATTTATGTATACATATATATATATATATATAAATATATAAAAGGCCACAGTAGTAATCAACGATTATTTGATTGTATTCTCTTCTTCCTAAACAGATCAAGGCACTCTAGACGCTGCTTTATACAAAAGAAAAGTATTATTGAAAAATAGTGTACAGTCGATGCTCGCTTAACGCACTTCGCTAAACGAGCGGCGCTGCCCGTAATTGTAAGAAGGTACTTATAGTAAAAAAATAATTTATATACAGAGAAAGGCGCGATTCTCTCGAGCTTATGGCTCGTCGATTAAAAAAGAAACAGAAAATAATAATAATAAAATCAATTACTGAGCCTATGCATATACATATATAAAAATCGATAAAATATTTCTATAAATTATAATGCTAATACTTAGAAACTAACAATAATAATAATAATAAAAAATAATAATAATACAACAATAAAACTTTCTGACAAATATATATAATAAATAAAATACCTTAAACTGTTGACGTGTCTTTATCAAGTATATAAGATAAAACAAAATTTAAGTATTTTCTGGAAGTTTCAAGTTTTAGAAATACTAATATATTATATTCTCCAAAGAAAGAAATAAAAAAAATACAGGCCGCTTTTCTCCGTGAGCGTATTACTAATACTTGTTTATATGGGAATGTTTCATAGTCTTATAAGTTACAAATAAAAAAAATGTTTAAGTACAAATAAATTTCGTGGGTATTCGTTTTTTTTTTAGTATTTTTTCTTCTCAATTTGTTTTGAATAAATTTTTTATTTTATAAATCACATGGTTTCGCGCACCCGATAGGCCGGAAATGAAACGGCGATCGGAAGCGGCCGCAATGGCCTATTTGATGAAGAGATAGATCGAAGGGCGTCGTCTCCTATCTGGATTGGCGCCGATTCACTTATTTTTTTGTCGAGGGAATGTTATAATGGTAGTTGCTTTGAACAGATTTGGAAGTGCGGAGGAGGATGCTTATCATCCTTCCTCTCACCCCCAAGCTCGACACCGCGATCATTGGTCCATAGTGATGCCGGTCAGGTCGACGATCTCGTCTTGATCGTCGGGATCGGATCCGGCCGTGGTGTGAGACTGCTGCGATCCGCTAGACAACAGCGAATTCCTGCTGAAACTGCCTCTCCTGACTGGGGCCACTGTGCGCTGATTGGCCGGCTTCACGGTCACTATTAAATTAGCACTATTTGCAACCATCATGTCCGTCACCTGGTCCAGGGTCTTCCCGCTGACCTCGATGCCGTTTACCTCCAGGACCTCGTCGTTAACCGCCAGCAGTCCGGTCGACTCGGCCAAACCACCGGGCACCAAGCGAGATATAAATATGCCAGGTATCTTTTCCAGTCCTAAAACATACGTAAACATACAATTAGCAAATACAGTAGTTTCATATACACAGGCCAAATAAGAAACACTTAATGTGTCCTGAAATAACAGTACATTTTGCAAGAAATTTATTTGTACCTTCATCTAAATATTTACCTTTTTGTGTAACCCGCACGCTCGTTCCATCTCTGATGTAAAAGCCGAGAGGCTTCTCCGTGCCGTGTTTCAGTAGTCTGACCCTCCTGCAAGTCTCTGGGACGATGTCCACATCGATGATGGCCGACACCTGTCGAAAGTCGTGTGGATTCGAGATGGCCAACGTTTTGGCCCTGCTCGGTGTTCCACCCAGGATTGTGGATATCAGGTTCTTCGGTTTTATCGTTCCATAACCATTCAGCTCTTCCAGACTATCACCTGCAATAAAAAAAAATATTTATAGACGACTTCCTTGTAAAGCAATTTGCAGTATGCAGATTGTTGATTTCTTTTTTTATTTATAAAAACAATTATCAACTTTCTACCTACCAGATTGACACATAAACAGTCAATCAAACTTATAAAATATCGTTATCATAGATACAATTTTTTTGTATTGTTTTAATAATATATAATCTCAATTATAATTTACTTTTTTATGTCAATATTTCCATGTTTAGTCACAGTAGTTATAAGTAGTTATATGAACAAAGAAAAGTAATAAAACAAACTTGTTTGAAAATTATTCAAACAGGCAATTTATTGTTGCTTTATTCATGATCATAAAGAAAACCATTACTTCTATTAACATGTGCACACAAATAAAACAATAAAAAAACAATTGCTAAGACAAATATGTCAATTTTGACTGAAACTAATCATTGATTACTAAAGTAACCAAAGAATAGTTAAACCTATGAGATATATTCATATATACTATAAAACGTTTTGTAATTTTTATTAATATCTTACTCTATTTGCTATAGCAACTTATATTTCTCATAATTTATTGTTTCAATATAAACAAGAAACAAATACGTGAAATGACAGTGACGAAAAGCATAATGACATTATACAACGGCCATATGGCTTTTGTAACAGATTAACATGTTTTTTTTCCGCACCAGCAATCACCATGCTACAGTTAGTTTTGCCCTTCCACATGTCCTACGATAAGCACAACTCAAGTACACATCAGAGTTCATCACACTCCACCAATTGTCCATTTATAATTTCAAGTGTTCCATTCCCTAATGAATTAAAAAAAACGAACCAATACATTTATTATATAATGAGAACACCGAAAAGTTAGGAAACGATGAGAATTTTCTAAAGTATAGTAGTTTTTACCTTTTCTTTGTATGATCACCCGCAGGACAGGTCTGGCATTCATGAGGGCCCTCCGCAGGTTTTCATCGTTGTTGATAGGCAACAGGTCCTGGTCACTGGGATCTATGTAGGATACTAGGAAGGCTATGTCTCCGAGACAGTGCAAACTCTCCAGAAGGGTTTTAAACTCTTCGAATCGGGCCTGTCCATCTCGCATCACGGAGCATCGCCTTAGTTCCGCATCAAACTAAAAGAAAATTAAAAAAAAATATTACTCCACGATAATATGGTACAAATAAGCAACGACTCAATTAATAGGTAATAAATACATTGCAATTAATCCATAATTATTGCAATTGCTGCAAGAAATGCAACCAATTAAGCAGCTATTTTCCAATCATAATAATAATATCATAGCGCTGCTATGGAGACGCTCCATTTGTATTAGACATTATTTTTTGTCGTGCTGGAAATGTAAAAGACAAATATAAATTAGTAATTCATATCCCCAGATCCGTGTATAATTACTATAGTTACGTAACGATAATCGCAGTCCTTGGACGACCGCAAAATAAAACAATTTCGATGCAATTTTAAGCAGACCATATTTCCAATCGTATTTTCTTTCCACGTGCATTGTCAATCGAATTAGTGGAAATTTGATCACGGCTCGTACATTTTTTTTTATAATTCCTCGACTTTCTAGCATCTTCTTTCGCAATTACCGACAATCGATAGATTTCATTATTGCTGTTTTTACCGCCTAATGATCATCATTAATTTTAATTATTTCGCGTGGAATAACGCCTTGATCGAGATTCATGTTTAGCCAACAAATTTAGAAATTGAATCACACGGCATTTCTAAAAACCGTTCTCTTTTTGGTATACTTCATATACAAATTATTATGGCAATTTTCCGATATTTATTTTATAAAAAAAAAACAGTAACTGTTTATTTATAAACATCGTTGGATTGAGACAAAGTTTCAAAGGTGTTGTTTAGTGTAAATTACAAACCGGTGCGGAATTTAACCGAGACAATCAGAGCTTAAACGGTATGAGAAAATCTCGTTAATTAAAGCTAACATTGAAGATCCAAGTGCGTATTACCGGCATGCGATTGACATTCAGCCGCGCCGTTGCAAATGATTCATGCATAATGCACATGCATATCTGCACTGAAACAAATCAACGTTCCGATTGCCAATCAAATAATACTATAAAACCTTCGTTCGGTCGCCCATTAATCCCTCGAGAACTGTACGCTTCGAATGGAAAGCAATGAAAGAGTTTGCACGCGATCATTGCCAGAGCTTAATGGACTCCACGTGAGAAACGTAATTTTCAATTGTGATCTTCGTTCTTTATTAATATTAATAGGAAATGAGCTCCATTTGGCAGTCAGAACCCTTTGTATTTTTGTTTAGGAGGCATTCCATGACTTGCATTATATTTACTTTTCCTCCCATCTAATAATTAATTATATAATATAAAAACTTCTATAGTATGATTAAAATGATTCAATTTCAAGTTTTCTTGACACCTGTAATGTGTCAAGTTGACATAAATAATACAATTTCATGATAAAAATAATAATGCAAGTTACACAATTGATTAAATTTCAATTGTGACAAATATTTTTATGATTATAAAATATAAAATTATATAAGAATTTTAATCTATAAAGCTTAATCTGTTAATCATTTCGTAAATTATGAACTAATTTTTCTATAACTGCATTAAAAGATTACAGGTATAGCTACATCCCGATAAAATAATTTAATCGAAGGAACTTATAACGGAAACTACCTGCATATGAAAACATAACTAATTTATAGCTTCATTCATTTGTAATAATATACACAAATTGTAGATAACAATTAATAAACGATATTTATAGTTTATTAATTGATAGTTTTCAGTTCGAAAGAAGAAAGTCTACGTATATTTCAGTGATGTTTATAAAAAAAATATAATGCTAGACGCAATTATACATAAGTAGCTTTGAAAAATGATAATTTAAAATCTAACTCCACCTGACTGCTGTTACTATCTGAGTAACGTATCAGCATATTAATGAGCTTCATTTAATAGACATGCGTCTGAAATAGTTGTTTCAAACAACAACGAAAAACGTAATATATATAGCCTGCATATGGAAACAATTGCACATCATTGGAAACGATAGGAAAATCGTAATTTGTAATAACAATGGAATGCAAATTAGTAATCAAAGTATATATAAATATTTCTGTTAAAATCAATATGTTAAAGAATAGAGACTTAATATCGTCATGGTCGATAGCCAAATACAAGGACGAGGTATACAAATTACTAAAATTGAAGAATAAAACGCACTCTAAACAAAAACTATTAACTTATTTTATTGTCTACTTGACTTAGACAAGGTGACTGACCTGCCGGTTAAGTGTTTATGAATTATATAAATGCAAAGCGATGCAGAATTTTAAGAACAAATTACAATACATCACGAAACGATAATTTTGTTGTTTCTAATCCTTTTCTTATAATTATTAACATTAATGAACGGAATGGATGCCACCAATAATAAGTAACAGATTAGAAATGTGGCAGATTCGTACGATTTAATTGGAAGCACTTTCGTTTTAGTTTCGCGTGTGCTGCAGCGCACATAAATTAATTTCAATAATCTCTTCAAATTTTTACGAACAACCGTCAAACTTTCCAAACGTAAATTTATTATAAAAAAAATATCTATAATAGTATTTAACAGATGGAAGATGTAAATCTAATTGAAAATAGTTGTTTATATTTTATTGCTTCATCTACTGCCCCAGTCGTTTTTCACGTGGGCGTAGAAATATGAGATGTAGTATAGATACTAATGTAAATGGTTTATAAATACCAGTAGTGTTCATTTTTATTACCATATACAATTTCCATGGGTGGAGCCAATTGTCTGATGTTAACTAAATAAATACGAAATTGAGATAATTCTACATTCCGCATGGAAATTGAGTTCTCACTTTACGAAAGAATGATAGAGTGGAATTAATTAGTAAAGTAGGGAATAGTTGTAATAATAACTGTATTGGTTAGGAGGTTTTCTTCATAAGTGTTTACCAACCAGCAGGTCAACGATGTGTATAATATGAAGAAGTCTTAAGAAATATTCCATCAACTCTTTCAGTAGGCTTTCAAAAAACAATGATTTCTTTTAATTGTCACTTTAGACTGCTATAATTTGAGGTGAAGTGCAAAATTTAGTATTTTTTTAAGAAGTGTATAAATTGCAGTAGTAATAAAATATTTAATTAAGAAATAAATCAAGTACCAACTTTATAGTTGGAAGTGTAATAAATATGGAAGGCAGAATAGTCGTATCAAATTACTGTTACCGTGCATAAACATATCAATAACAAATTAAATTGAAGGAAACGATAAAAATTATCATCAAAGTTCAAAATAAAATCTAAAAAGTAGGTATGTGTCTTTTATATAATTATACTTGTTTCATAATACTTCTAAATATAGACCAGGAAATGAAGGTATTAAAGTTAAATTATCACATTATCAACAAAACTAAAGTTCCATCAAATAAGACAATATAATTGGTCGTACCAAAGATTTAACTCAGTTTACTTGTTATTAATACTTATTCTTGTAAACTATTGTACTAGGATACTTCTTCACTAGATTTTTATCTATTATTTTCGGATTAGAAGAGGAAACTTTTAACGTAAAGAAATCGCAGAAATAAGATAAATAAACTTAACACAAAATCTACAATTTGTTTCAATGTATAGATGATTAATACTGTAAACGTTTAACAACATTGTTAATGAAATTCTTAAGCAATTTGAGCTGAAAATTAATCATTGCACCGGATTCCAAACATGCAGTTATTTGTTATTAATACTTATTCTCGTAAACTATTGCACTAGGATACTTTTTCACATACATTACTCGATTTTTATCTATTATTTTCGGACTATAAGACAAATCTTTTAACAAAATGTACAATTTGTTTCAATGTATAGATGATTAATACTGTAAACGTTTAACAAAATTGTTAATGAAAGTCTTAAGCAATTTGAGCTGAAAATTAATCATTGCACCGGATTCCAAACGTACAGTTTATTTGTTTTCTGTTTTTGCTGCTGCTGCTGTTGCCGCCGTATAGGAAGAACAGGTGGCCGGATCGTATTTGAACGGACAATTGAACTGTTACTCACAAAATAGAAATGCAATAGTCGCGAGTAGGCTGCGTTTATTGTTTGAGAGGGTTCGTGATTGTTAATATATGTTGTGTTGCTGGAAATTGTAATCAATTGGGTCAATAAGCAAACTAATAATAACAACTGCGGTTTAGTCGACTAGCAAATGCATGTTTAGAAACCGACCCGACAATCGGAATACATTAATAAATCACTTTGCAATCGATTATTATAACGTATCATTTACAATGAATTATCTAATTCAACAACAAAATATATGTCTATAACAAATGATTATTCTCGTGCACTAAGGCTAAAGTGTTTAAAAGTCGACAGATATATAAAAATGAGTACGTTACTTATCTCGTATATCTATTTGAATTACGAGGAACAACAGATAAAGGCTACAACAGAAAAGTTGGAATGCTTTAAACAAAGGCTCACGTTCACATGACACTTTTTATTGTAATTTCATTTTTAAATAGAAAACTTTCTGTTTTCTTTTGAACCAACTAATTTGTTCGCGACCGAAGAAGTCGCGGTTTCTCAATGCGTGCGAATCAATTGCGAATTCGTGGGCTTCGATTTTGGAATTGCATACATCATTTACATTCTAGAAATAAAAACAAGAAACGTTTCTTATTTTTTTCTTCGTAACGCGATTAATCATTCACTTAGTGATGACTGAATTATTATAATTTTAAACACAATTAAGTCAATTCCATTATCAATTATAGTTTGCGTAAGAGTTAATGGTTTTCATAATGATATAATTAATTAAAAATAAAATACGTAAATCTCAGGTATTAATCAAAATAATGTTGAAATTATATCTTGTACACAATTTTTATGTTAAATCGTACATTTTCACATTCCATGAGCCACGATTTCAATTTTTAAAGGACATCACAATGAATGTTCTACAACGTTGAATATGTATATCGCATATACGAGTTGTTACTGTAACAATTCTCATTCAGTATTTTATTTTTCATTGTAGTACTTCCCACAAGTCATCCACCCGCGCCAATTGTTGTTTAACTATCGGACATCCAAAGTCAGCCAGCTTCATCCACCCACTCACCTATGAAATTATAGTTTTTAAAGATTTCATTAGTTTTTATCATTTATTTATTTACACATTTTTATTAGTCCTAATTTAGGCTAAAAAGCTATCAATCTATTTATATATAAATTAAATATATATAATTTTAGAATTTGTACAAAGTATAATTGAATTTTATCTATTCCATGATTTTGATTTATTTGAATTTATCTTTAAGCAGTTTTATCTTGAAACATTAATTTGTAATACTGATTGTCGGAAATCATAGTTGATGAATGATTTTGGAAATCTGCACTTGTCGAAACAATAATTGATAGATTTGTATGATACTGGTGTAAATTGGATATGATTCGTGTGCATGCATTTATAGTATTTTGTTGTTATTTGTAGATGGCAATAGTGTATTTGTAATGAAACTGTTATCGCATACAGTTAGTTACACTGATAATGAATTCTAATTATTTATAAAATGGTAACCATGATAAAAGTGTATAGCATTGAATGGGTGGCATATGAATGTAAAATTGATTGCATTTGAATAGGTTTAGAGATAAAAGTGCGTTCACACAGAGCAGAGGAAATTAATTGAAAAGGCAGCAAATGATTCATGCTCTCTTTACCAAACAGGTGTAGAAAGTACAATTTTCGTGTGTGCACCAGGTTCGATAGATGAATGAATTTCGGTTGAGGAAAACCATAGCAACCCCTATCGACGAATACCAGGATTCGCCGGGATCACTCAGGAATCCCAGCTGAGCGGAAAAGTCGCCTACTTACTTTGCTTTTCAATTCAATTTTGCTACCGTCCAGTGTGTTTTTCATCACAATTTTATTTTTCGACATCTTCGCTGCGACTCTTCTCTTGCTGCTGGCGGCCGTTCAATTCGCGCTCACACTTTCGTTACACTTTTAAGGACACTTGGGACCCTCCGACGAACACAACAAACCAACATAAAACGGAATAAACAACAAAAAATCTAAGTTATTTACGTTTGTACTTCATTCTTTTAATGGTAGTCACCCAGGGTAGGGTTTGTCGACGGCGCGACGTTGCCACATCTAGCCGTTACCACCAAACAAAAACCGGAACGAAAACTTCCTGCTCTTTACCATTAAACAAATTAAATAATACTCCAAACTAATCGATTCATTCTATCAATATTATCCTAAAACATACACACAGCTTTGATATAATAATCAAATAATCCATTATCAACCTGCAAAATAAAACATGCAATAAAAATAACAACTCGTATTTCAATTATATCAAACCATAAGATATAATTATATCTATAAAGAACAAAACAATCATTAAATAAGTTTTAATTTAACAAAAGTAATTTGTATGAATTGTAATCAATGGCAACATTGCTGATGTTTCTGATGTCGACAGCACTGAAAAATATGAATCACCACTTGGCGCTTTTATAAGAATTATAAATACTTCTAAATCTACAATATTATAACAATTCCATATCAACATAATTAAAAAATAAATTATTAAATAATACCCAAACATTAAACTGTTAAATTTCTTTATACAAAAATATATAAATTTTGAGTTGTTATATAGGCTACCCCATTTACAACAAAATAATAAACATTATCTAACATCCGAGTAACCTATCTTTATTTGATCAAAATATTGAAGTTTGTTGCGACCCAAAACAGCTGATGCAAATGGCTTGAAGTATGTAACTATCTGTTATTTTATTTTGTATTTATATTGACTTTAATATTGTCAGGTTGTGATGAAGAGGATACAGAAACCCGATTTTGAGAAGGTTAATCCTTGCCAGAAGGAGCAGGAGATGACCTACAAGTGCATGAATGACAATAACTTCATTCGAGATAAATGTTTAGATTATATGGAAAACTACAAAACATGCAAGAAGTTTTGGGTAAGAGAACAGTCATGTCCTAGTATGCAATAAATTCATTGCTATTAATAAATAATTTCCAAAAAATATTGCATTCATTGTATTGCTTCTAAAATGCAATGAGATGGGTATTGAGATTCATAGTTAACAAACTACTTAGATTATGGTAGCAGCTTTTATAGCTAAAAGATCAACAGATTAATATATATTAAATATCTAACTGGTAGTTAACATTTCCTATATAAATTATTAATAATATAAGATAAACAAACCTAATTAACTGAATAGAATATCTGGTTTCATAAATATTAATAAATCAATGAGTGTTAATATCTATTTTAAGAGCTAATAATGTGGCTACTACCAAAATAAAGTTATTTATTTTGTTATCTTAAATACTGAATAAATATAACTGGGTAGTGTAGAATGTACGAAATATCAATAAAATGTATATAGTTATTGATAACAAAGTTATATCGTTGTGTAAATATTTGTTTTAGGGTAGGGTTCAAGCGTACAGAAGAAGGGAGGGTCTCCGTCCGATCCTACCGGAGGTAGCAGATCGTGAGGAGGTGAAAAAGGATTTTTTGAAGAACCATTACTTCACTTGATCAATCACGTTTCAAATCGACGTACAATTATAGATAAGCGATCCTGATTTTGAATCAGAAATATCTCATGTAACGTTTGTATAAATGTAAATAACCTTAACGATCGTCTCAATTATTTCCATCCACAGTACATAGCATAGTCATTATTAAAATTTAGTTTTATTTCAATTATCATTACACAACCGAACAGAACATATGATTCGAACAGTTCACAGCATCATATTAATAGTGAGAAGAGCAAATCGCAATTAATACTACACAATGAGAGAGAGAGAGAGAGAAATAAATACAGATCTTGATTATACATATATATCATTTGTGCTAATAATTGGAATGTTAATTATTAACTAGCTAAACTTTATCGATTATTTTCTTCTTCTCCTCTATTTTTTTTTAATATGTTATTCGCGCAAGCAGTAAAGTAACACACTAGTTGCGAACGTTTGATATTTTTCTTTTCTTCACTATCCAAATCAGTTATTTCTCTGATGGTAAAGGTGGGAGGGGGCAGACACGACAGATATGAACGTACAAACAAACAAATGGCACAAATAGAGAACACATATAGAGAGAAAGAAACATGTAAAATAAAAATAAATAAATTGATTGATGGTTCAATCCCTCCTGCCCCCGCGCATACATATTTATTATATAATCAGTGACAAAAACGTCGTAAATAAGATCCCTCGAATTAAAGAAAGAAGAAACAACTGAAACTAAGAACAAACGACACAACAGTATCTCCCTTACGAATATATATATAAAATTAAATTACTATGTCAATGGTGAGTTCGGATTGAAGGAAAGTCAGTCAAACCACAACAAAGATACTCCGTACATGCAACGAAATCGTAAATAAAACAAACAAAAATAAGACAACTTAATGTTAACGCAATCTTAATCCTACGTAAACTAGAAATTGCCTATATATATATAAATATATACAAAATAAGTTAGGATTAATCTTTGATCGAGATACAGCACTCTCGATTTTGCCTAGTGAAAACTACAAATAGGAAAATAAAAATCATACAAAATAAACTCGATAATGTACAAAAAGTTTACATCTTTGGACTTGCTGAAATTCTTAGGCTTCGTTAGAGGATAGTTTTTTTTTTTGCAGTGTATTATTTATATAATTTAAGCGAAATTTCTGACAGGTAAAAATAAAATAAAGAGAGCGCGAATGGAACGTAAAAATTTGCTTGGGAGTTATATAAATAAATAATAGGGAACACACACGTCGTAAGAGGATGGATGAGGTGGATTTTCGTTTCAGGAGGTCTTGGGCCGCATATTCCTGCGAACACAGAAACGAAACACAAAAAAAATAATTGTTTACGTGCAAAAAATATATGTATGGCGTCCGAGGGACAACACCTGACTTAATGAGATTCATGCGTTGTCGGCAAGCAGTCATTCTGAATGACTCTCATATGGTATCTTGAAGCATCTTATATGGAAATGTTTACACATCTGCTGAACCTGAAAGATCAAAACGAATTGTAAATACGAGGATCAATAACAAAATATGAATGAATCTTAATAACTCGACAGTTATATGTAAGTAAGCGGCCAAAACAATATATTGAATGCCGTAACACACTTTTTCAAGAAGTAGATATTGAAAATATCGAACATTCGGAACCTTAGATGAACTGACAAGGATTTGGTTTATAAATTCAAATTTCTTGAATGCAAAATTATTACAAATCTAATAACGAGAATTTTATAGAATCTTAGATATTATTTTTATATTGTAGAAAATAATTATTAATGATGGTAGCAGATGGTTCCAAATTATACAATTAAGTGCTAGTACAATAAAACTATCTGTATTGGCAGCTCTCCCTTTTGGCACTTGAAGTGCTTTGTACTGAAGTGTCTTTGTGCCAACAAGTATAGCTTACAATAACAGACTAGGAGAATATAATCACTTACCACACATGATCCATAATGTATATGCGTGAAGAATGCAATGAAGCAGAGGAAGTATATCAATAATAATTCCACTAGTTCGATTCCCACAATAAGCGAAACAGCGACGAACACAGCCGTGGGAGTTATCAGCGAATTATACAAATCGCATCTGGTGTTGCTCATTTGAGCTACGATCAATCGACACTAAAAATCATACGAATTAAATACACTGAAATAATAGAGAACGTTGGATGCATACACAGATATTCGAGAAAATAGTGCCGGTCAAGAAAAACAAAGCCCTTGGGTCCTTTTCCAAGAGCGTAGGAGAGGCGCAAGCCCAGAGCAACGTCAACAAGAAGAAAATGGTGACAGAAAATAAGGGCCTAGCAGCTTCAGCGAATGATCGCATGTGTCCGGTGCGAAGTTTGTAGGACATGTAAACATTGTAGAAGACAATGGGAACGTTCGATACCATCGAGGAAACATATAGTAAGATTTCGAAACATCCCCCAGCTGACATGCCACCCGGCAACGTGAATTGCCATATTTCATACCCGAAAATCTGAAATAAAAACATGTAATAATCCGCATCACAAGCGATTTGATTGGGGTCTTACACCGGCCAGCAGGAAGGTTAGGATGGTGCACCACATGGAGAAATCGTAGCCCCACGGTAGAAACAACAGACCAGTGTTGTATTTCTCCCAGTGGGTCAAGTAGAAATTGATAAGGACGTTCCAAACGATGAAGAACATTCGCATAGCGTTTATACTGTACACATCGCTTCTACCAAATATCGAGAACATCACGATCGGAATGATGGCCGCCGTGTACGAGTCTAATCCGTGATCGAAGAGCTCGCCCAAGGGCCCACTGGTCCCCGTCCTTCTTGCCTGCTTCCCATCGATGCCATCTACGAAATGTTGCAACGTTAGTATTTTAAAGCATTCAATCAAATATGGGTCGTGAAATAACTTACCTAAAGTATATGCTAAAAACAGGAAAATAGCCGACGTCATAAACACCCAGTTCGGAATGGGGTCGACCTCAGGGTGGTCCCTTGCATTTGCATAGAAATCGTAATCATAGTAACTTAGTAACAGCAAAGTGGCGAATGTGAACAGGAATCCACTGAATGTTAATAAGTTTGGAGCAATCCATCTTGGGCACAACTGAAATTATATAATATTTAGATTAGTAATTGTTAGGTTTCCATTTTAACTGAACATCTATCACAAAGACGTGTGTATTACATGGTATTAAGAATTGTTATTCTAAAAACATTGCTTTACTAGGGCTCCAATTAATACATCTCGACTTGGCTAATATTTCCGGTTACCCATCAATTATAGACGTTCCTGCTAAACTTTAGCAATAGTTTAACCTCATTTAATAATAAAGTAATAAGATAAAGAGGATTTCAACAAATAATATTTCAACCTTTGTAGTTATAAACAATATTGATTTATACAACTACAGTAAAGAAAAGTACTTAGCGCTAATAAAAAAGCGAATAATACTTGCTCGTCGATACGTCTTTTTAATTTTTTCAATATAAATTGCGTGAAATGATTCACGCCGATACGTTATTATAACTGTCGCATCAAATATAAATTTAGAAGTTGCATCACGTATATACATAGAAGAAATGAAAGAGACAATCAGGGTGGTCGACTGATGGCCAATTAATAGAATTGCATCAAAATTGAGGGAAAAACATTACTTAATATACATTCACTAGAATAATCAATACGTTGACTCAGAAGTTATCGATTCCTTTCTTACTACGTACATAAAAAGCACACGGAATCTCGAGTTTTTACGTTTTAATAGTTCGTAGAACTTTCACAACTGCGAATGACATCATTTAAAGCAAATTTAATAATCATCCACTTTATTGGGAAATTATTTGAAATAGAGCCACGATTTGCTTCACAACTAAAATATCTGATAAAATATATTCCTATTACATTACATTTACTGAATTGTGGATACCTTAGTATAAAAGATAATCCTGTTTACATTATATCTAATATTTATCTCTGGAAATGTTAACCTCTTTACTACTTCCGTTATTTTTTTTTCTACGAAATATCGCTTCTTTACAAATAAAATGTTTGTTTATAGTTACACATATTGAAATTATAGTTTATCTAATGTCAGCGAAAGGTTACTTCGTACATAGATCCATATTGGGACGAAAAATAACATAAAACAAAGAGATAACTTATGGACCTTAAGAAAATACTCACCAATATGATCTTGTTCCAAAATGGGTGCATCACATACTGGCTCAGTGGACTTGTATCCTTGCAACTGTACTGTAATCAAAGAAACATTTTATTAATTAAAATTCATAGTAAATACATATTTAGTAAATTAGATTCACGCAAAATAAAATATAATAAAGTGTTATTACCCATTACATTTTTCTTAACTATTTTTTTTTTTAAATTACAATTCAATTAAACACAGTCGCTACAATACCATTAATAGCTTATCAAGGATATTGTACTAATTCATAGTGTAAAATTGGAAAATCTGTATTTGCAACCATCTGGAAAGTTTTATTTAAAAAAATATAATTGTATTTTTTATTAATTGTTGCGAATAGAAAAACTTATTGTAGATTTTTTGGAAGATCACCTGCTCTTAGCAAGAATCGTAGTTTCCCAATGTCAGGCAAGCAGACAGGCAACATCAGAATATGGGAGGTCATATATATAATGTATTGGTATCAATAGGTTATCGAGATATTGCGAGTAATAAAATAACAATAGCAATACAGAAGGAAAGATAAATGGAATTCACATTCATATTTAGAAATATAAAAATTAATTAATTTAAAAAAGTTTTGAATAAATTTTTTGTCTTTGATTTAATGCCAGAAATATAGGGATTATGTAACAAAAATCTAAAGGTCTTATTTTCTATTATATATTTGATTCGATTGGAAACCTTACTACGACGTTTGTCCTTAATGCGACACAATTGTAATTTATTTTATAAGTAATGAAGTAAAAATCGACTAGAGTTGGAAAAGTGTAACAGTTCACCCAAACAAATACTACGTCGCTACATTTATACAAACACGTTGCAATTATGAAATGTTTTGAGTTATATAACGGGATTAAGTTATTATCCGTACTATATAATTAGTGTGCACGACATTTAACATGATTTGCTTAGCAGAAAAATAAATAAAATATGTCATTGGAAAATGCATTTTAAAAACGCACACAACCTTTCCGGCGTTTGCGGTTTGATAACGTTGATCAAACAAATTAACGCGTAAATAGTGCTTTTTAATTAACAAATCTAAACGTTTCACACACAATTATGTACAAATCCTTCGGTCCAAACCTCCGTCTGCAATAGCATTAGTTACTTATCTATTAACAAACTTTTTGAAGATTACTAGTAATTAATGGTTTCGTAGATAACGCACTTTATGTAATAAAAATCTTGATCCAAATATTAATTTTTTAGATAAAAATTGATTTATTTCGTATCTCTTTGTGTATTTTAATCACGTTAAACCAAATTTAGAACAAAATTTAACACGTAAAGTGATAAAACATGGACAAATAAAATATAAAACTATTATTTCTCAATTACTACTAAATAAATTTGAAATGCATGAAGAAAGGTAAATCGTTATCCAATTGCGTTTTAGATACAAAGTCCACTGTATTGAAAGGCCTATTCACAATTGACCCCCAATTTCCATATTAAAAAAAAAAACGCAGCTCATCTATACCAATTAACTTTCCTCAAACGTATTAAAGCCCCAACGTATTCATAAAAAAAAGCAACGAATGCATAAAGACCCGAAGCGCGTCGATCACAATTTAAAAGAGTTATACATACACATATTTTCTGTTCGTCTGGGCGGAAATAGTGATTGAAGATGAATTATATTTACATTTAATTTGGTTGTACATCGAGTTATGTGCGTGTATTACATAGTACTAGTTGTTGAAACGCTAGATTGAATTAGATTTGTTGATATTATCTGTATGACGATGTTGGAAAAAAATAATTGTAAGACAAGTATAAGTTAGTTCTTGATTGTAATATTATATAATTAATACATAATGTTGGTATGATTGCATAACAAATTTAATAACAGTATTGGCAGTATAATTTAGAAACAATGAAATAAATTGTAGTGTAATCTTGTAAAATCATTGATTATTTTAGTGCAAAAGTAATTGCAATTATAAAATTGTGGTTCCTATCAGAAGTTACATACCTCTTGATAGGTGGCTCGAAACTGATATAAATAAGATGATTCTGCCTGATAATCTCCTATCAGTTTATTTGTGTATAATAAAAATTGGAGCAATGTAATGCATTAAAATCCTGTTCCAAGCTACTAATGTAAAAATGTTATATGAAAAAATTGTGAGCAGTGATCCTTCCTGTTTACAAGCTTGATTGGTGTAAATTCAGGAAGGATCCATGCAATGGACAGGGAAATCAAGTGAACCCTGGATAGAACATCCTGTCTGTCAGAGCTTGATGAACCTAGCCTAGATCAATTCCGGTGCTTTCCTTACCTTGTAGTTTTCGAAACCGACCAGATGGTCATTGTTTAAATACTCCTTATTCATTTTCTGCCCTTCTTATTGGAATATTCCGATGGGGGATGATTGTAGCAACACGTGCGGTTCAATGGAGAATGTACACCCTTTTTTAGCTGTGCCTGCTGCTCACTGTTTTAACATAATTTTCCTGGAAAAGCCCTCGATGGAAATGCGTTTCGGAATTTTGCGCAAAAAAACCACACCACACTTCAATATTTCAGGCACCAAACTCGCATTACGCCATATTTGGACAAGCGAACTTCAATGTTTTCAAATGTTTGATCCTTATGACAGATCCCCGGCTTACTATCACATTTTATGTTTTCCCCACTACGTTTTTCCTATGAGAATGCCATGTTCGGTCTATCCAGACCAGCACAGATGGAGCCATCATCGTCACAATATTGATTTTACGAGTTTTCATTGCGTAATTTAGTAAAATTGAATAATTTCAATACGTATTATATATTTAATTAATGTATCTTAAATTTCATATTTCATTCTTGTAAAAAATATAAATATTCTGTATATTTTAAAGCACAAATTCAAAATTCATTAACGTTTGATCTTATAAGTATTTTCTAATTATTCATAACCAAGTAAACTGCACAATTAACATATAATTTGATTAATTTAAAAAATGTTCTTACCATAAATTCAGATATAAATAATTGATAATAAATTTTTATTATAGGCAACCAAAATAACATGGTATCAGATTTCATTTTTTTAAAAAATTGCAGCCCTTTTGATATATTTTACCCTTTTGATGCCATCAACTGATTTTTTTTTATTTAGTCTATATTTCGAACTTAGCACCTTCGCATAGGATTCTTAAAATACAGCCAAGTATAGTTTAGATTTATTTATTTTGTACATTGTTGAAATTTGAATCTAATTGCTTTTTTAAGCTTATGGCTCAATTGACACTTATAACTTCATAATTTAATATCATTATTTTATTATTTTGAATATACACTATTGAATTATAAAAATACTTAATAATAGTAAACAGTTTTATTTGTATGAACTAAACCGTTTTTTTCAATTTTCAATTTAAAAAAATGTTTTATTATGTGTAAGTGTAGATACAGGTATTTGTTACAAAGTAAACCGTTGAATTTGTTAAATAATATTTAACTAAAATTTAAATTTTTATTTCTTTTTACTTCTGATTCTGCGATCTAACGTTAACCTTTTAATTCACTTGATTCAATTGCTATGTTGGTTGTCTATGACTGTGGTCTGTGTTGTATTGGGTTATTAAAAATGAAAATGTTAGTTTCATTAAAGTTCTATTATTACATAATAATATAATATATATATATTATTAATAACATTAAAAATAATTTATTGTATATTGTAAATGTAATAAATATAATAAAACCCTTTTCTATGTACATTTGATATATTTATGTAATAATTCTTATATTACTTATTGTACAATTTATTTTAAATATAGGGATAATAATTAAAAACTTATGTTGATTTGAAATATTTTGTAGCATCAGTAAAGATTTTTGGGAAATGGTCTATAGATGACAAAGATTTATTTCCGTTTTGAAGATAAAATTTATGTTTACTGCAATTTTCCTCTCACAATTCAGGTTCTATATCTTTGGTAATTTGGATTCCTATAAAATTTGATCATGAATTGTCATTTATATCAGTTTTTTGTTTTAGGCTACTTGGAATAAGTGAAAACTCAATTAAAGTTAAATAATAATAATATTTTCAATTGTTTGAGAATTATGTGATGTAAGATGGGTTGATGGGGATGATGAAATGAGAAAATTATGAAGTTGACATAGAAAAAATAAACTTTGTGTATTTTTTATTTTTAATACCGAAAAGATACATTATTGGCACTGTTGAAAAAAATATATTTTATGTCAGAATAATTACAATAAAAAAATAAAAATAAAACAAACAAAAAAAAAAATGGAATAATACTTATATAACAGAGTCTTAAAACGAATATAATTTATAATGTAATACGTCACGAACACAAAAAACGTTTCAAACGCTTTTCGTTCATATTTATTTGATACTTTTTTTTGTTATGTTTTCCTCATTCGATAATTACATGATTACTTCATCATTTATTTTTTGTTGCTGTTGTTGTTGTTGATGTTTCGGAGAGAGAGAGCGTTCGTACATTTTATCAAAGTAGATTAGATCACAACACATACAATGTCAATGAGTAGCACACATTCTTTAAGAACGCATGTGGGTAAGATCACTTTTTGTCGTCCAGTTTGCCCTTGTCTAGGGACGACGTCACCAGCATCGGTTGTCCTTGGGCATTTTGGTTAGGATACACTTTGTCTAAATGCTTGAGAGACTCACTGAGGAAGTTCTGGATGGCAGTCAAGGCAGCGACGATGGCCGGACTGCCGAACCCGTGGGATATCAGCGAGAAGTGCGTCAGGTGCCTCTGGATGGAGGGGTCCAGAAGAATCTGGGGCCTGGTATTGCACAGCGGCGACCTATCCTGGTTCAGCAGGTCCATCAGCTCCTTCGTCACTTGCTTGGTGGCCTGCAGAAGTTCCTTCCTCCTGATCGACTCGCCGTGCTGCCTGAGCAAATACTCCGCCACTTGTCGGGCTGGGAACTCTGTCTCGCAGACGTATCCGAAGTCCCTGGCCAGATGGACGGCCTCGCCTTCCACCAAAGAAGTGAGCAACGTCACGTTCGCAGCTTTCCTCCGGCCTGCCGGCAGATTGAGCCCGATCTTCTCCAGCTTCTCCCTAAGTATCCTGCCTCCATTCTTGCTCTTCGCCCGCCTGAGAACCCCGCCCAGCAGCGATGCGTTGAGGCACTCCGGAGGCGACAGCCGTCGTTGCACCTCTCCAACTGTTACTTTGTACTTTGAGGTTGAGGAAAGTAGCGACAGGCGACCGGGAACCGAGCAGAAAACATCGCTCGGTGATACCATGGATCCTCCCGAATGGTCCTTTCCTTTTATACCTATAACAGAAGAAAAAAGCGAAAACTCTTATTAGAAAATGAAACGAGAAGCAAAAGCAATTTTTGTTGCCGCCGCCGCGATCCGGACAATGGCGCAACAGCAGGTTTAATCTGAAATATTTAGAAAGTTTAGCGTGTTGTACGTTGCCGAGGCAATTTGAAAACTGTAATTGTTTATTGGAGCTCTAATACTCTATCATTAGCATTAAGTTATCCAGTTATTATCAAGCCAGATCTTGGATTCTTCCATTTGGCTGCTCGCAAAGAGCAGAGGGGAGCCCGGAACTCAATGCGCCGGAAAATCGTTCATTACATGAGCAAGGGGGTAGAACAGATGTAGTCGCACCGCCCATCAAAACATTGCAATTACAAGATATATATAAATACAAATATCTCTATTATAACACGTTACTTTCTAAAATCAGTTTTGCTTTAACACGATTACAGAAGTATACACAATAGCATAGACCTACTTAACACGGTTTCGTACTACAAGATTTTTTTTGTAAACCTAGTAGTAACTAAAAAATATTTAAAAAAGATAACTTACTTTTAAGTAGAGGTAGATCGGATATGAAGCCCGTGTTGTCGTCTATGCCCGCTTGGGCCTCGTCGACTGCCTGTCCCAATGCTTGGTGAAGAGACAGCGGGTCGTCGTGGGGTCTTTGAGGTATTCCGTAATCCGGTCTGCCTCCTGGTGCACCGCTGTACGGGAAACTCGCGCCATGACCAAGCTGACCCTGGAAAAGAAAGCGAACGATCAATTAATGAGAATTCCTTTGGCGGCGGAAGAAGGTGAGGTATGTGTCCCAAATATGTTCATATATGGGAGTCTTCCGAGATTCGGCCGCTGTCGTAACTTAACAACTGCATGCATATAAGATGATGATAAGGACGGAATCCTGACATATTTGCGATGTCTTTACATAGTTGCAGCAGGAAATACTTGGGGTGGAGAATGCCAGCTATTCGACCAGAGAGCCGCTCCATTTCAATATGTATTTCGCAAGAAATGCACGCACGCACGCGACGACGATAAGGGCGCAAATATTTCTCTACCCCACTCATTCTTCCTACATCTAACCAACTTACGAGCGAGCACCCTAAATTCACCCCACCGCCGTCCTCCCCCAAAAACCAACATACATACATCAAATTATAATCTCTGGCAATACGTTTTCCTTTCCTTACATCATCATTATATTAACCGAGTAATTGAGTCTCACAAAACAAACAAATATAATACCCTGTATATTCACTAGAACCTTACAAAAAACAAATTAATAATTATTTGATACAATAAATTGCAATATCTCATAATCAATATTTCATTCATTATTTTCAAATGAATATATTTTTATATTGAATCTTAAACTTTTAAAAACAATGCTTGAATCCACAATATGTTAATAACATTATTTTTTTTGCTGCAAGAATAAAAACCTTTTAATTAATTATTTACCATTTTATTGCAACATCACTGTATATTTATTTCGGTAAATTCGAGATTTTAGCGTACCAATAAATCTTTTTCGCACAGCAATCGTCGGTCGTAAAAGAACAATTTTAGATATTTTTTTTTATAATCGTAAGAAATTAATTAAAAGAAAACCAGTTACATAAAGTAACTCTTCAATATAATAAAAAAATAAATTTCCAAACTGTTTTAGATGTAATTTAACAAAAAAATATATTATTATCACAAAAAAAACTAACAGTATCTTTGAACATTCGTTTGATGCAGCAATGTAATTTCTAAAATTATTAATATACTTAAAAGTTTTACTGCTTAGAAGAGAAAATATTCTTACTTAAAAATTGCTCAACATAATCAAAGATAAGTTACTTAACGTTTTAAATAAAATGTATTAAAGTCCGCATCAGATATATTAAGTAATAATAAATTTGCTTAGTTTAAAATCAAATGCATCTATTCTGAATAATATAATAGCATAGATAAATTATTTGCGGTGGAAGATCAAGGATACTAAGCAATGTTTTATTAATGAAGCTGGTTTGTAAGTGATTGATGAGAGTGAAATAAATTACAGCAAATCTTATTTGAATAAAAAAAATATATAATAATAATTTGCTTATTAAAAAAAATATGAGATATTTTCAAACATGCAATATTTTTAATGCATAAATTATATACATAAAAAAATGTACTTGATATTTAACCAAAACTTTAAATTTGTTTAACAAAATGTTAATTCCTATTGATGATAATGCTTCATAGTAATTAGCAAAATTATACACTGGAAATCGTGAAATAACAAAAAAGAAGTTATTTACAAATTAATCTTAAAAACAATCTAAAGACTGAAAGTGATTGAAATTTGTACCATAAAATTATAAATCAGTGGTTTTGTTAAAATATAAACTAAATTTATAAACAATCTATGGTTGTCATGGAAACTATGTATTTGTACAAGTTTTAACATTTATTCACATTCAATAATAACGCCAACTTTTCGTTCTCTACTAAAATAATCCATGGTTGTTATAGAAACGTGATTGGATATTTCAAGTGATTGGATCTATCTTTAATACTTGATTGACATTTGTATATTATTTTTTTATAGTTAATAAAACAATCCATGGTTGTTATGTAAACTTCGATGACCTGAAGCTGCTTTGATGGTCAAATTGAATAAATAATATTCTCATTTTATAAACAATTTAATTTGATTCAATACAACTTGAATTTAACAGATGACGTTGAGATCATTTATTTGAGTAATTGTGGTTCTTTAAGTGATACAATAGGTAAAAGATTAAAGTGTCTTTGATAGATAACAATACAAGTTTTTGTAGTTTGGAAGACAAAGGCGCAATATATGAAACAAGAGAGTGTTGAGACAGTTGAACGTATAGAAATTGGTACTTACGACGTGCGTGTGGTTCGGGTCGCCTTCTCGCCGAAGACCCAGCTGGTTGTAGTGATGGAGGCCGGAGAGTCCTCCATATGGATCGGTGAGGTATTCGAGGTGCTGCTGGGGCGGTGGACTCGGTGGATGGTGGAACGGCGGTGGGAAGTACGGGGGCTGAAAGTCTGGCTGGGGTAACTGGTGTTGCATCGCTGACCCGTGGTGGACGGAGCCGCGATGGTGTCCCCCGGAACCACCGGCACCGTACCCAGGTGAACTTCCGCTCAACGCCAAGGACCCGTGTCCTCCGGCTGTCAGGCGTTCCTGCAACAAGACAACAAACAAACATGTTAAAAAATCTCAATCAACAACGTCAATTGACGATTCCGTTACACAATAAAACAAAATATGGTTGTCATAGAAACAACGTAATTCTTAGCAAAAATTTTATCATTGAGATACATTGTTTCTAAGAAATAATTTGACACCTGTCATTCAATAACAACGCTAGCTTAAGTTTTTATTCTTCAATAAAACCAATATAAGGCTGTTATGGGAACTACGCATTTTCTGTATTAAGAAACTATTGTTTATTTACAAATTCTATTATTCCGAATCATGACACTTGTCAAATGAGGACTCATTTGACATTCAATAACAACGCCATCTTAATTTGTCATTAATTTGTCTTGAAACCATGAAAAATTTCATAAATTTTTGTGTCCCTTATTAAAAATGATATAATCCTCTTGATATTGATTTAAGTAAACATGTAAATATTGAATGTTGAGAAGATTTCTAATTCATCGGTTATCATTGCAAACGGAATACATTTCGTAATCCTCTAAAATCTTAAATGGAAATTTAATTATTGTCTAAGGTAAATGTCCGGCTAGCCACTAAACACAATTCAAGAATACTTATCGTATCTACAAAAAAAAAATGCTAATTACAAAATCAAATATAAAATTATATAAGAAGTTTCGAGAGGACGACGGCATTGCGCAACGAGAATACATGAATACCAATCATTTTAAGTTATGATAAATCGACGTTTCCGGTCCATATCTATAATTTAAACTCGGACAGAAAAAAAAACCCGTACCGCATTTCGTAATGAATAAATTATATTTAAAAAAAATATATATATCCGAAGGCAAAAGAAGACAGTTTTCCACTTAACAATTTATGAGAATTAGAGAATAAATAAGTCCATGTAAAGATTTACATATACAGCAATCCCTCGATTCCGACAAAACACCGCACTATTTGAAACCGGACTAATGGGGGATTAGAAATGAATATAAAGAAAAATAGGATAATTTATTTCCCGTTAATATCAATCAAGGTGTTCCATCAGATTATGTGTGTAGTAATTAAAATAGTCGTAAGGTAAAAAAATGTATCAATATGCAATGGAGGCGTCGTCCTTAAGCTGTCAACAATTTCGCTTTTGATAAAACAGATGTTAAAAAATCGCACCAAAAATGGTGCGCGCGAATTCAATCTTGGCAAGGAAAGGAACGTTAACAAAAAGAGAAGAAAAATGAAGGGAATGAAAAAAAATAACTAACAACATGATATAAATCATATAAAATGTATCATGCGGAGCGGCATAAATATTCAATATTCAAAATCGCGTACACGGTATCGAATTACTCTCTCCTCTCTCTATCTCGTTCTTTCTTTCTTTACCTTACGGTGCGAAAACACAACTAGATTGTCGTCTCTTTCAAGAAATGAATAATGCATGCATGCGAACTGTGTAAATATCAATTATGATACATTTTCATAGCGATAGAAGACAACCAAAAAGACATCATCATCGTGCAGGTTTGACTTGAACAGAAATATTTTGATGGTTGTTTTTTTTTTGCTGTATTACCAACTTTAATCATATTCAATGGACATGAGAACTAATTTCTCAGATTTACATATTGTAGTTAATTAAATCACATTTAAAAAATATAATTTAAAATATCGAAAATCAAGTTTTTTTTTCATATAATAAGACGAAAATAAATTTTAAAGACTATTTTTGTTTAGAAAAAAAATTAGAAAAAAATGCACCTCTAATTTAATTACTAAAATAAAAAGTTGCGTCTACGGTAGTAAAATTATATTTTGTTGCCGTATTAGTTCAATTATAATAAAAGACATTTTTAAATTTACTAAGATTACCTCATGTTACGTTAAATAATTTGTAGAATAATTTAGGAAATTAGTTAGAATAGTCATAGAAAGTATGCATAAGCGGTATTACGCGTTACAAACTTTACGCTGGAAGTTTTTTTTCTTTAATGAATGTAAAAGTACTACATGATGGATGTTTTCTAAGAAATTTTATTTTAAATCATGATAGATAAAATATTTAAAAAATACAAATTATTGTAATCACAAAAATTCTATTTTTTTTAACATATTTGTAAATTTTTCTAAATCATTTAAGTTTTTCAAACAGAATACATTCTTGAAATTTCTGTATTAAATAGGATATTAAAGGATATTTCCTTCATTAAGTGGATATTATTAACTCATAGAGAAATTTTCATAAAAATTAACTTCATTAAAGTTTTTTATGAATATTCAATATATAAATAAGTATAAAAACAAATATTTATTTATTTTTTTAAATTTTTACTTTCAAGTCATTAAACAATAAGTAAACATTTCGAGTTAGAGCTTTAAATAACTTTGAATTGATATTTGGAATGAAAATCTTCTAATGTTAAATTCTAACTTATAAACAGGTGAATACAAAATTTTACGTTTCTTTAGCCCAAAATGTTGGCCAATTAAAATTAATAAAAAATAGAATTATTGTAGATTTTTGGTTTTTCTTTTCACTATATGCTATCAAGTGTATCCAGATGTATAAAATTACGTACTTCAATGATTTCCACTTAAAAGGTTACACAGCACATAGGTAAACTACACAAGTGTCGTACACTATACAGGATGTTGTAGTAATCATCAATTTTTTCGCACTGGTAAAGTGTAGAACGAAAATAAAAACTTTATCCGGCGGCAGGACCATTCGCGAACTGAAGTATATTCAACAGTGAACTGGAGTAGAACTAGATGAAGTCAATCAACAGTCACCACCTCAAGTCATAGAATGAGGCATATGATGAAGTATCTGACGGACCCGGCCGCAGGCTAAAAGCACGTGTTCCGAAAGGCCGCGATCCTTGCCGAAAGCCAAAGGATCCTCGACGGTACACACAAGCATAACCACCGCACGTATTCAAGAGGAGGAGGTGGAGGAATGAACCGAAAAGTGCGGCCCACAAGAGAATATTTAATTCCTATTGAAGAACAAAACGAGGAATGCACGTGGTCAACCTAAGTGATGCAATCCTTAAGACTTAACCAGATTACATCTACAGATTCACAGATAACGAAGTGTGTAAATTTGAGGCAAGAATTGTTTTTAATATTTAACGAAACAAGAGAAAGAGAAAAAACAAAAAGAAGAATCGTTGCGTGTGAGCGCCGTGTAATTTAGTGGCGCTGCTGGATCCGGGCGTGTGTGTGTGTGTAATATGTCATTTCCGGTATTTCGCTATTGGTCGGCCGTCTAAATGCCGGCTTCCGGTCGCGCGGGTGGCACACGCATCCGAAAACCCAATCAGGCCCCAAAAGAGAGGGTGCAAATGAAAATGAAAAAAAAAATGAAGGAAGGTGGTGGTGGTTGCTCCCTGCACGCCGCACGCAGGTGACTTAATTACATCCAAAAAGCAATTAGCCCACGCGGCCCGATTGATTTTCGCATTAATTAATCATTCGGATTAATCAATCAAGTCGAAAGCGAAATACGATGGAGACGGAAGAAACGAAAATTGAAATAATCAATTCTCACATAACGTCTAGTCTACATGTGATCTACACAGAACGAGAAGAAAGAAAAAAAAACAACTTCTTGTGTATATAAGACATATCTAATCGAGGGAAGAAAAAAATAATGTGAACGTAATATCTAAGCCCGATTCTAATTATGTTTCGTTGAATAATTTCGTTTCAAATTGCATTGCTTAATTGAAATATTAACATTCGGAATTTATTAACTTTTGATCTCCAGCATAGATCCAACAGCGGGTTTCAATCTCAACCATCCTTCATTCCGAATTTAATCATACGCTTCTTATTTAAACTCTCTCTCTCCAGCTTCAATATCGTCAAATAATTTCAATTTTCTGTTTTCCAAACCAGTTAATTTTCGAAAATTGATTTTACTTTAACATAATCAAAATAACTGGATTAAATTAATAGTAATTTAACTATTAAGTTCATGCTAGAATTATTCATTAAATTACTTTACCAATTCCAAAGAAACACATCAATTTAACTAAAATCAAATATTTATATAGATTAAACAATTTATTATTAAAACATATAATTTGTCAATTGTCAGAATTAAATATTACACTAAAGTGAACTATTAGCTACTAATTTAAAAAGTATACAGATATATTTTTGAATTTGAATTCTCATCAGGATATAAAATAGAAAAAACAAGTTAATAGGCATAAAATTTGGGAGCAGATAGCAAATAAAAAAGCGATAAATTTTAATTATATATAAAATATCTGAACGTTACGATTTCAAATGAATGCGTTTATAATGAATTGCGACCGTTTTATGGAAACAAAAGCCCTGAGCAACGTTTTAATTAATGTGTGTCAATTAAAGTTGGCTATAGGTCGACGCATAAATCATCGTAATTGAAATGGACTTTCTTTATTTCACGTTGGCAGCGAAACTCCTGACAACTAATCCCGTTGAACTGTCATCCATTTAAGAATGTATTACTACTACTACTACTACTGTTCAGAATTTATTACAATTTTTACATTCATTTTTTTTATTACTTTTGATTGATGTTAAATAGACATACAATGTTTTGTATTTCTTCACTTTTAACTGTCTTTACACATATAGAATTTATTATATTTAACGCTTATTGATTTATTGTTAATTAATTCTCTTTCAACTGTTTTAAACATTTAGAATTCTTGATTTTAGTTAAAATTGGAATAAAATTACTAAAAATATTCGTGGGAACGAATTTTCGTTGAAAGGCATTTATATTAAATGACTTTACAAGTCGATTATTGTTTTTCTTTGTACCAAAAACAAAATAACAAGTTGGTCACAATAATTGCGTTCTCGTTCTTCTTCGTTAGTTAGTGAATTTTTTTCTCTTCTCGTTTTTGGCGCTCTCCGTTTCTGGTTTATTTATTAAAGTGGCGAGAAGTGGTTGCCATGGGTCCAGAGCGGATATTATTTTAGTTAATTAAGCGACGCGACCTGTAATTTCGTTT